AACCACCATGAACATATTTCTGAAAAAAGTGACATCTCAAGAAGAGCCTCAGGCAGGTCCTTCAGGAGGTGTTCCAGAAGGGGCATTGTCATGGGAGATGACAGCTCCATGCATGTTATTGGTCCTGAAGACCTTCCAGCGGGACAAGATGTGGAGATGGACGACAGTGATATTGATGATCCTGACCCTGTGTAGGCCTACGCTAATGTGTGTGCTTGTGTCTTTGTTTTTAACAAGAAAGTTTAAAGAGTAAAAAAAGAATAAAAATTTTAAAAATAGAAAAAAGCTTATAGAATAAGGATATAAAGAAAATATTTTTGTACAGCTGTACCAATGTGTGTTTTAATTTGTGTTATGACAAAAGAGTCAAAACTTTTAAAAAATTAAAGTTTATAAAGTAAAAAAGTTATAGAAGCTAAGGTGAATGTATTATTGAAGAAAGATCTTTTTGAAAAAGTAAACTTAGTGTAGCCTAAGTGTGCAGTGTTTTTAAAGACTACAGCAGTGGACAGTGATGTCCTAGCCTTCACACTCACTCTCCACTCACTCACTGACTCACCCAGAGCAACGTCCAGTCCTGCAGGCTCCATTCATAGTAAGTGCCCCAAACAGGTGCACCATTTTTTATCTTTTATACCGTATTTTTACTGTGCCTTTTCTATGTTTAGATATGTTTAGATACACAGATACTTACATTGTGCTACAATTGCCTACAGTATTCAGTACGGTAACATGCTGTCCAGCCGTGTAGCCTAGGAGCAATGGGCTGGACCATAGACCATAGAGCCTAGGTGTGTAATAGACTCCACCCTCTACGTTTGTGTAAGTACACACTGTGATGTTTGCACAATGACAAAATCGCCTAATGACCGATTTCTCAGAAAGTATCTCCGTCATTAAGCGACGCATGAGTGTACATCTGTCCAAGAGCCAGATAAGCCCCAGTGTCTACAGCTTTTATGACCTAGAGATGTCTCAAAGGTCCTGGGACATATGTGTCCTTGAAATGTAAAATATTAGGGATCTTCCTGGCACCTTGGGAGCTTGACCTAGGGCACTACACCCGACTATAACCATTTGACCTTCTTGGGGAGACAAGAGAAGTTTTATTATCCTTTTGGATCAGAGAAGTTCACTAGACAGACGACTACAGATTTAATCCCCACGGTATGTGAAAAGTACAGTGTTTGTGGATAAAGTGAAGACAAAACATTACCTTTAATATTATGCAGATTTCTGTGTTTCCAGAGACTAGAGCTTTCTCCAGGAGTACTGAGAAATCCAGGAAAGATTTATTGCCTCAGGTTGATTTATCAATAATGGAGAGTTTTGATATAACCTTTCATCATGATTGTGGATTTGTCAATTTCTCCTTGTATCTTTGTGGCTATGTTATTAGATGCTTATGCATTCAGAATTGTTATTTATCTTTAGTGAATTATTTTTCTAATTATGGTGTAGTGACCCTCTTTATCAGATAAGCTTTAAAAATTCACCTAAAATATGACACTGGACAAGATGAAGACAAAGAAAAGGAAAGTTGATAGCTAGATTAATATCAGAGGGAAGAATATGAAAGCAAAGCATTATTAGGGATGACCTTTGACTTCTAACTGGTGAATTTTGTGAACTTTATTTTTGCTAGATATACTTGGATTCATTTTTCTCATCTTATTTTATATACTATTTATCCTATTTAAAAAAGGCTGCTTCTTTCCTCCTGTCTTGTCTCTATATATGGTGTTTTAAAATCTACCCCCTTTTCTCATTTTCATGTTTTAGAAGGTATACATTCTATTTCTACTAGGTCAGTGGTTTCTCTTAAATATTTTTAACATGCACATTTACCTTAATAAACCCTAAAGTAAATTAATATCTATGCTTTCTTCCTGTATAATTACTGGAATTTAGAACATTTGAACTCTGATGACTCTCTCCAGTCTTAGAATATTACTCTTATCTAGTGTCTGTGTTCCTCCTTGTTTTTGTACCACCCCCCCCCCCCCCCCCCCCCGCCCTTGGTCATCATCATTATACATTTTTATAAGTTTAATGGCTTTACCCCTATACTTATTGGTTTCTTTGCCCATCATTACCATTTCAATTTCAAGCCTTTCTTCTGATTCAATGTCCTTTAGAAGTGCTTATGTGAAAGGTCTGTTGGAGGCAAACTCTCAATCTTTGTCTTAAAGCATCTTTACTTAATGCTCATCCTTGAGTTGCAATTTACTTGCATGTAGTATCTGAGACTGATAAGTATTTTCTGCTGAATGCTGCTTTCTGTGGTTGCTAAATGACTTTCTTCTGCAGGTAATTGCTCTCTGGTTGCATTTAAGGCTTTCCTTTGCTTTAGCTTTTTGCAAGTTCACTGCAATACCATGGTGTCTTTTGATTTTCCTGTTTGAGATTTCTTGGGCTTCTTGAATCTGAGAACTGTTGCTTTTCATCAGTTCTAGAGCATTTTTGAATTTTGCTTTGATTTCATTCTCTCCATTCTCTCCTTCTGGAAATTCTATAAAGATATCTAGAATATTGGACCTTTTCAAGTTATGTAATTTTTCTCTCTTTTTTTGCAAAGGAGCTTTTTTTTTTTGGTGAAGAGAGCTGAGCTAACATCTGTTGCCAATCTTCCTCTTTTTTTTCTTCTCCCCAAAGCCCCAGTACATAGTTGTGTATCCTAGTTGTAAGTCATTCTAGTTCCTCTATTTAGGATGCCACCTCAGCATAGCTTGATGAGCGGTGTGTAGGTCGTCACCCAGGATCCAAACCTGTGAACCCTGGGCCACTGAAGCAGAGCACTCGAGCTTAATCACTTGGCCATGGGGCCAGCCCCTGTAATGTGTCTCTTAACCACCTTTCTATTTATATTTTCCGTCTCCTTATCTCTCTCTGTCTTATCCTCTGTAATTTCTTCCAATACGTATTCCAGATTGCTAATTCTTTTTCAGCTGGGTGTCATCTGGTATTTGACTCATCCATTGAGTTTTTAACTTTAATCCTTATGTTTCTTATTCCCATAAATTTTAATTGGTTCCTTTACAAATCTGCTCAGTCCTCTTTTGACAGCAGCTTTTCTCAAGAATCTATTTTTCTTTCTATGTCTTTATCACCTTTATGTTCTTATAATCACTATCTGAAAATTTTGTTAATGGAACTACTGTTTTTCTGTGGTTGACACTTGTTGGATTTTTTTCCCCCGTGTGTTTTGTAATTTTTATTGAGAGCTCATTTTGTTGGGGCTTAATCTATAGGAATCCTATCAGGCCTGGTTTGAGGATGCGTCTCTTTAGAGAGATGGTAGTTATTTCTGCCAGATGCCCCAGAGTTACTGCCAAGTTGGAAGCTCTTTGCATGCTAGTGTTTCAAATCCAATTACAAAGGTAATAAATTCAAAATAGATTCCACCAATGATTGAAACTCAAATTCCAATCCACATGATAGTTGATCTGGTTATGAATTCTTCAGGAAATTTTTTTCATCCCAGGCTAGGTACCTCAGTTTTTCTTTTGCCAATAGGTAGTTTTTTGTTTGTTTGCTTTTTTTTTTTAATCTCTCCCTTTTATAATCCTAGATTTCTCTCTCTCTCTTTCTCTTGCTTTTTCTCTCTTTGACTCAGTTATGACTCCCAGCTTTGTACAAGCCTGGCAACATTTTCTGTCCCTGCATGGCCAGTAAAATCTGAATCTATTTGTTAAGAAAGGCAGCAGCCAGGGGCTGGCCCTGCGGCTGAGTGGTTAAGTTTGTGCACTCTGCTTCGGCGGTCCAGGGTTTCGCTGGTTCAGATCATGGGTGCGGACATGGCACCGCTCATCAGGCCACACTGAGGCAGCATCCCACATGCCACAACCAGAAGGACCTACAACTAAAAATATACAATTATGTGCCAGGGAACTTTGGGGAGAAGAAGGAAAAAAAAAGAAGATTGGCAACAGTTGTTAGCTTAGGTGCCAATCTTTAAAAAAAAAAGAGCAGCAGCCATCCCCACTGTTCCTCTATCCTGGGCAACTGTGGCATGAACAGCTCATCATGAGTCTCGGTTTACAAAGATTGAGGTCCCGGATATTTTCCTTACTTTCTTGAAAACTCGGTTATATTTAAAAAAAAAAAAAAGTTTGTTTTTGAAAGTAGAAAAGTGGTTGCCAGGGGCCGTGGAGTACGGAAACTAGGTTGAGGTTGGAAAAAGGGTGCAAACTTTCGGCTATAATATAAATAAGGGCTGAGGAGCTAATGTAAATTATGGTGACTACAGTTGATGACACTGTGTTGTATGTTGAAATTTGCTAAGAGTAGAACTTAAATGTTGTGACACACACACACACACACACATAAAAGCTAAATATGAATGGATAGGTGTGTTAATTAACTGGATGGGGGAATCCCTTTACAATGTATGTGTGTATCAAATCACCGTGATGTACACTTTAAATATCTTACAATTTTATGTCAATTATACATCAATAAAGCTGAAATTTTAAAAAAATTTCAAAAGATATATTTTTAAAAATGTTTGTTTTAGCATTTACTGATATTTTGTATCAAGAGGACTTCCAGATTTTCTAGTCTACCAGAAATAGAAATAGAAGCCAAGATTGGTTCATTGATCTTTCCCAGGAACCCTATAACTTAAAAAAAAATCCAATTCAGTTCAGCAAACAATTATTGAGTGCCTTTTATGTACCAGTTACCATTTAGGGAAATCATTCATTTTCTAGCAGAATGCCACTTTCATTCAGAAAATAAAATAAACTCGCCTTTCTTCTTCACCATCCTTCTGCAACCATCAGTTTAAAAGATCCCATTTTATCAAAGGCATCATCAGATAAGTTCTAGTACTTGAGGTAAAATTCCTATCTTCCGATAAAATTCCAGCACTTAAACCCCTGCTCCTACAATGCGTGGATTACATCATCATTATGAACACACAAAAAAAGGTAAGTGGAAGAGTTACATCAAAATTCACGTATTTTTCAAAATCATGTATTTCTTTTCTTTGTGTTTAGATTTTCTCGCACCTCAGTTTAAGAGATACGGTAGTATGCGGTCAAGTTAGTCGCTCCTGGTTGCTGATGACACAAATAAGGTCATTGTGGAATGCTGTAAGTAGACACTACCTGAAGCCATATCTTTATTCTGGTTCCTAAAGGAAAACAGACTGCTATAAAGCCAAATGTGGTAGGGATGACCTTCCTCTCTCCTCCTCCTGTGAGGCTGTAAAAGTTAGGTGCATTTGTTTCTCTTTCATCCAGGCACAAGCCTGAAGGACAAGATAAAAAGACAATAATGTTATTTGAAGAGATGAGTATTTTCTAATTTAAATGGTAGAAATAAATTGGATATAATTCTTGGATTGAAACAAAGCTACATTATATCTGAGTTAGGCTTAACGTTACCCGACTCAAGATGCTGCAGGAATAAACTGAGAAAATGCAAAAGTGCGTACAGTAGAGCCTGGCATGTAGGCAGCACTCAATAAATATTAGCTGCTATTATTAGTTCAAAAACACAACAAAGCAGCACAAAATATGGAGTAAAGGAAAATACAACTGGGCATGAAACAGGGCTAAAATATTCAACATATAAACAAAGCTTGTTTGATGGTCTTTGTGTGTTTGCATGCACATAGACACACATACTCTCAGGCATTTTCTGCTATGGACTTCTAGGCTGGCACCTCTGTACCACTGAGCTCCTATACTATTCAACTATTGTCATTGAACTATTTTTGTGCTATTCTCGTAACCTAAAACATGCCTGTGTTTTTCATTGCAAAGAGACACCGGGGAGAGGTCTCAGCCAACAGCAAAAGATAAGCATGTATTATCCCCAATGACTTCTTTTTTCTGTTTCTTGGATGTTACTTTAATCTTAACTGTGATCATTTATATCATTAACCAATGTTGCAGTGGCAACATTTTCTCTATCGCCTAAAATCCAATCAATAGCTGACTTCGCCACCTCTTAATTGCTAATGATTGGAGGCCCAATGATACCACGTGCTCGGACTGACCTATGAATAGATGGCAGGGGCCATTCTGTAGAAACTCTAAAACTCAGACAGAGAAACTAAGAGGAGTTGACCAGGGACCAGGGGATCTAGCTCCATAAGTCAACTGAACATCTTACATCCTGTCAGAGCACCATTCTGTTCTTGGCTGTACTGTGCTCTCACTTGGTGCAGCAATGGCAAGAAGAAAATGTGCTCCTGTCCTAGCTAACTCAGACTGGGGATATTACTTTTTCCTTTGGAAAACCTGTAAAGGAGAAAAAGATGAATCCAAATGGTCTGATGAGAAAGAATATGCACAATATTAAGATCAGGGCAAATCCTGCAGAAGGCTGGCAGAAAAAGCCAGCATTCTGCCCAGAAACCTCATTAGGTAAAGATGGAGAAAATACAAGCACATGGTGGCGAAGAAGAAAGCCAGGATAGCAAGTTAAGTTTCTTTATGTTCAGCAAGTTTCTCTTTCCACAGTTCCATGTTGCTCTTCATCATCTCCAATTGTTTTGGCCTGTATTTGTGAGTGCTCAAACGTGGCACAACCTTAACAAACATTTTTGCACAAAGAATAGCTTTGTTCTGAAGACAATGAGAAATTGGATGTTTATAAACTTAACCTTTTAGCCAAAAGACCTCGATAGTACTATGATATATGATATCAATATTATTGTATCAACCAGCCCTTGCCTCTCAGAGCTCATATAAACCTCCGTGCTCTTCAACTTTACATACAATCAGCATCTTTCCTTATCTCTAGAACTACCTCCTCCAAATTATGAGTAGTGAAAAGGCCATTATAAACCACACACTCTAAACTGTCTTTCCCATAGTCAAGGACTCAACATATAGTCTGTGCTCATGAAAAAAGCAGCAGGCACACATTAATAATGAACCCGGGGTGGGTTCATTGACACTGAGGTGGCGGGGGGCAGCCTCGAGGCTCACCTGGGATTATGGGGGACGTTCAGGCCACTCCAAGACAATTGACTCTGTTGGGGGGTGGATGTGAGGTCCCTCTCCTCTCAGCTATTGATCAGAACTGGACATTTGGAATCTGTTTGTAATTAAGCCTGGGAATGACCGTGAAAAAAAACCAATCTGTTTGTAATTAAATCTGGGAATGGCCATGAAAACAAACAAAAATGAGCGATGCGGTGAAGAAATTTTAGTTCTCGGTGCTTTAAAAATATTTACATGCAAAAGATATTTCTTAATGCCTTCTGTTTATCCTTTGTAGATTGATTTTTCCTCAGTAAAGCACATGGCCACAGATAAATATATAGTGTCTACTCTGCAAAGGTGGCGTCTGAATGTGCTGCGCTTGAATTTTCGAGGATGTGCTCTCCGACAGAAAACTTTGAGATCTGTCAGTAAGTATGTGCATTATGATGGTTTGTCTTGCTTTCCTGTATTTTAATTAAACAAATACAAAGAAACGTATAAATAACACGGAAACATCAGTTACGGTCTTAGGCCATAAGAATGACAGTTAAAGCCATTTAAAAAGCTTATGGTATAGTCAGCTCTTACTGGATTGGATGCCTGGGGGGTTGGTCGTTTTGTTCATTCTTATTGACTACTTTTTTTGGTCTAGCATTTGTCTATCTATGCATCATCAATTTATCTACCCAAAAAATACGGCATAAGAACATATTCTTGGGGGCTGGCCCGGTGGCGCAGCGGTTAAGTTTGCACGTTCCGCTTCTCAGCGGCCCGGGGTTTGCTGGTTCGGATCCCCGGTGTGGACATAGCACCGCTTGGCACACCATGCTGTGGTAGGTGTCCCACGTATAAAGTAGAGGAAGATGGGCACGGATTTTAGCTCAGGGCCAGTCTTCCTCAGCAAAAAGAGGAGGACTGGCAGTAGTTAGCTCAGGGCTAATCTTCCTCAAAAAAAAAAAAAAGAAAAAAGAAAAAAAAAGAAGAATATATTCTTATTTTAAAAATTCTGACAATAGACAATAAAGCGAAAATCTGCCTTTATCTCCCTCAAACCCATTCACTTAAAGGCACTCAATGTTATCACTTTTCTGTTTTTCTAAAACACTTTTACATATATGTGATTAAAAATACACAATTTTAATTTTTAACATGAAAGGGATCATATTGTTTTATGTTTTCTTTATGTCCTGGAAATCTTTCCATGTCAGTACATATAGACCTACTAAATTATTTTTAAATGCTTAAAATCATTTTCCATACTATGGATGTACCATAATTTATTTAGTTTTCTTCCTATTGATGGACATTGAGGTTATTTCCAGTTTTTTCCAAGCTCCTTTGTACTTTGATTGTGACATTTGCCTTTAACTGTCCTAGTCAGTTTGGGCTGCTGTAACAAAGTTCCATAGCCTGGGTGCCTTATAAACAACAGAAACTTATGTCTCACCGTTCTAGAGGCTGGCAGTCCAAGATCAGGGTGCCAGTGTGGCCGGGTTCTGGTGAGAACCGTCTTCCAGGTTGCAGACTGCTGTATTCTCATTGTATCCTCGCAAGGCAGAGATGGGAAGAAAGAGGTCTCTGAGGGCTCTTGTAGGAGGGCACTAATCCTATTCATGAGAGCTCCATCCTAGTTATGTCTTGAAGGCCCCATCTCTAATACCATCACATTGGGCCTTAGGATGTCAACATATGAATTTCGGGGGGACACACACTTGGTCCATTTTATTAACCTATACGTCCTTTGAGGTGCATTTCTTGGTTTTCATATATATTTCTGGAAATGAGAGAAAAAATATATTTCAAAAAGTATACATCCATACTGATTTCAGATAGTGAGAAAGAGTGCCATAAACATATGTAAATATCAACATGGATGAATCTGAAGATGTTAATGGGGGATGATGGGCAGAATGATATATATAATCTAATACCGTTTGTATACAATTTTACAATGTTCAAAATAATACTATATATACTTTACATTTTGAAAATAATACTATATATACTTTACATTTTGAAATAATTTCAATAATATATGTTTAAGGACACACATGCACATGCTGAAATGGAAAAAGCATGCGTGGAAATGAAAAACTCCAAAAGCAAGAGAGTGGTTACCTCTGAGGTGGAGGGAGTTGGATGAAAGAAGGTCTCAAGGAATGAAGAGCTTCATAAGGAGTTTCAACTACATCTGTAATTTTTTTTTCCTGAAAAAAGAAAGAAAATAGACAAAATGGATTAATTCTGATCCGTTATTGCTGTGCTGAAGAAAGCAATACTTTTTTGTGTGATGTTATTGCATCTGATCTCATCCTAAACTCTCTTCTTGGTTTTAATAGTTTGTCAGTTGATTCTCTTGCGTTTTCTGGGTAGACTATCGTGTCGTCTCAAAATATTAACAGTTTTGTTTCCATTCGTTCCTATTCTTATATCTGTTATTTCTTTTTTCGGTAGCAGAGATACGCAGCCACCTTGTCTTGTTCTTGACTCTTTTTTCACATTTCTAACGAGAATAGTTTTAATATGATCACGTCTTTTAATTTCCGGGATACGCTCCGTATAGGGAGCTAATGCTGTTCCCACCTTCAGAGCAGCCGTCTTCTGCGTGTTCCTCATCCAGTCCGGGCCGTGTGCCTTTGGGTTTTTAGGAACTATTAATTTTGGATCCGCCGAGGTCATTCTTGCTTTGTTTTCCAGGGGTATTATAGATTTTTGAAAACAAATTATTTCTTGGAATTTGAACAGGAGAGGAAAACTGAAATATGTGCTCAGTCTGCCATCTTGAACCCATTTATTACTATTTTAGTTAAGAAAATAATTATAAACTTTAATGTGTTAGCCATCAAAACTCTCCATCTCTCCCTCTTTCTCTCTATATGCGTATGTGTACACAGATATACATATTTACACACATATATATGAAATAAACATAGAAAATATACTATTAGATAAGTCTGTGTTTTCTGAAGAAAGAAAATGGACTCAGAGCCAACCCATGGCTGAGTGGTTAAAGTTCAGCACGCTCCACTTCAGCGGCCCAGGTTTGGTTCCTGGGCGTGAAACCACACCTTTTTCTGTCAGTAGCCACGCTGCGGCAGCAGCTCCCGTGGAAGAACTGGAAGGACTTAACAACTAGAATCTACAACTATGTACTGGGGCTTTGAGGAGGAAAAAAAAAGAGGAAGATTGGCAACAAATATTAGCGCAGAGCTAATCTTTCCCAGCCAAAAAAAAAAAAAAAAGATGCAACATTCGAGATTTTGGTTTGACCTGAGATTCACATGATAGCAATGGTGGTTGAACGGTGGAATGAGTTTCTGAGGAATAGCAGGGCTTGTATCTCTGGAAGCTTTTATTTATTTATCAATTGAGATAAAATTCACATAACATAAAATTTACAATTTTAACCATTTGAAGAGTACAACTCAGTGGTTTTTAGTATATATACAATGTTGTATAACCATCGCCACTATCTAATTCTGAAACATTTTCGTCACCCCCCAAAATACACTCATATCAATTCTCCCTTTTATAGCTCTTTCTTACCACATTGCTCAGGATGGAACTTCTAATACAATGTTGAACAGAAGTGGTGAGAGTGGGCGCCCTTATCTTCTGATCTTAGAGGGAGAGTTTCCAGTCTTTCACCATTAGCTAAGATGTTAATTGTAGGCTTTTCATAAATGCCCTTCATTGGGTTGATGAAGTTTCCTTTTATTCCTAGTTTGTTGAATGTTTTTAATCATAAAAGGGTGTTGAATTTTGTCAAATAGTTTTTATGCATCACTTGAGTCTTTTCCTCTGGAATGTTCCATATCAGTCATTTTTTTCCCTAATTTTATTGAGAAGTAATTGACATACATCACCGTACAAGTTTAAGGTGTACAGCGTGTTGGTCAGATTTACATGTATTGTGAAATGGTTACCACAGAAGCTCGTATCCATCTTCTCATATAGATACAGTGAAAAGAAAAGAAAGAAGAAAGGAAAAAAAAGTCTCTCCTGGTGATGAGAACTCTTAGGATTTACTCTCTCAACAACTTTCCTATAAAGTAGTCCCCGTTATCCCTGGGGGATACCTTCCAAGACCCCCAGTGGATGCCTGAAACTGAAGATAGTACCAATCCCTATATATACTACATTTTTTTCCTAAACATACATACCTATGGTAAAGTTTATTTATAAATTAGGCACAGAAAGAGATTAAAACAATAGCTAATAATAAAATAGAACAATTATAAAAAATACTGTAATAAAAGTTATGTGAATGTGGTCTCTTTCTCTCAAAATATCTGATTGTTCTATACTCACCCCTCTTCCTGTGAGGACTTGAGATGATACGGTGCCTATGAGATGAGATGCAGGGAGGTGAATGACTCAGTAGCGTTATTTTCAGACTGTGGTTGATCACGGGTAAGTGAAACCTCAAAAGCAAAACCGCAGATAAGGAGGGGCTATTGTGTGTCATCCCGCTGCGTTAGCTATGGTCGTCATGTTGCATGTTATAATTGCATCCATTGTACATCTTCCAACTGGAAGTTTGTACCTTTTGACCACCTTCCTCCAATTCCCCCTCTGCCCACCTGCTGCCTCTGGTCTCATCTCTTTTATTATGAATTTGATTTTTTTTCTTTTGATTCCACATATAAGTGAGAGATCATATAATATCTGTCTTTCTCTATTTAACTTAGCATAATGCCTTCAAGGTCTATCCATGTTGTCACAAATGGCATGATTTCATTTTTTATGGCTGAATAATATTCCGTTGTCTGTATACCACAACATCTTTATCCATTCATCCACTGATGCACACTTAGGTTGTTTCCATGTCTTGGCTGTTGCAAATAATGTTGCTTTAAACATGCAGGTGCAGATATCTTTTTGAATTAGTATTGTTGTTACCTTTAGATATATTCCCAGAGTGGAATTGCTGGATCATGTAGCAGTTCTATTTTTAATTTTTTGAGGATCCTCCATACTATTTTCCACAGTAGCTGCACCAATTTGCAATCCCAACAGTGCACAAAGGTTCCCTTTTCTCCACATCCACACCAGCATTTGCACGTTTGTCTTTTTGATGACAGCCATTCTAACAGGTGTGAGGTGATATCTCATTGTGGTTTTAATTTACCTTTCCCTAATGACTAGTGATGTTGAGCATCTTCTCATGTACCTGTTGGCCTTTCCTACACCTTCTTTGGAGAAATGCCTATTTAGGGTCTTTGCCTATTTTTATTATTATTTTTTTTTATTGAGTTATTGATAGGTTACAATCTTGTGAAATTTCAATTGTACATTAATGTTTGTCAGTCATGTTGTAGGTGCACCATTTCACCCTTTGTGCCCACCCCCCACCCCACCTTTCCCCTGGTATCCACTAAACTGTTCTTGGTCCATAGTTTTAAATTCCTCATATGAGTGGAGTCAT